AAAAAAAAAAGTCTGCAAAGCAGAGAGGGAAAAATATTTTTCCGCTGCTAAAGTTGTTTGTTGCTAGGAGGGGTTTGGATTTGCTTTCCATTCACATGGAATTGCATATGTGTAAATCTGGCTTTTTTTTTGCTTTTTTTTAATCCATTTGTGATTATGAATCAAATTCTTATTTGTTTTGTTTTATTGTGTATGCCAGCTTAGACCTCACTTAGGATTTTACTGCAAAGAAAAGCTCTTAATCTCCTTTTCAATATGTTGCTCCCACTACAATTTGATTTCTTTTTATGATTATTATGAAGGGTTTTGCTGGTGCACTTTGGTGGGGGTGGGAGGGAGGCATGCAAAAGTCTTTGGATACAAGTTGTTTCATAAGAGGGAAGAGTAACTGTTATTTTTAAGGGGCTGCTGTCCAAGTGGCTCAGATATCGGGGACTTGCAGTGCTGGCAATGCCCTTTCAGTTCCCAGGCTTTGCCTGGGAAAGATTGGTCTTAGTTTTATTTTATTTTGTTGAAAAGAAAATCAGTGTCAGGGAGAGGGAGGAGGAGGCTGTGCTGGTTTGGACCCTGCAGGAAGTAGCAGATATGGAGGCTGGAGCAGCTGTCAGCAGCTCAGCACTGATCCTGCTCCCCAAGCATCTTCTGACGCAGTGGCCAGAGGATTGGGCCTTCTGTGTTGCCTCCCGGCTAAGAGATGCCTTAGCGGCCGCACGTCTCTCATGCTGCTGACTCTTCTGGACAGTGTTTTGTGCTTTCCGACTAGGTGCATTCGGAGTTGTGTGAGGTTCTAACATACGGACGCTCGTCTAAGCTTAAACAGCCCCTTGCGCACACAGATATGGGCCTGGTTTTTCTCTTGCCACATAGATCGGGACTTGTTTTCTTGCCGTGGTAGCATGTTCCCCCCTGGCATCAACAAGGCAGGAAGGATCAGGCCAACACCTCGATTCCCTTCTCTTTCGCTAGGTGATGTCCTGACATTCCAGCATCGTTGGCATGGGGGGAAGGATTAACATCCTCATAATTAACGCCAACACCCGGCTCTTACCTAGCATTTTGCATTGCCATAGCCCAGCAAGTGCTAAGCGATTAATAAGCACCTGGGCAAAGTTTCCCTCCTTTGAAATTTCTGAGGAATATTTGTGGCTTTGCCCTTCTGTGTAGCCCACAATCAACAGAGCCAAATCCTCAGCTGGTGTGAACTGATGTTGCCCTCCTGGAGCAACACTGAATTACGCCCTAAGAGGATCTGGCCCAGCAGTCCTAGGTAGCTTGCACTGGTGTCTCCAGTCTGATTCAAACCTCTGAGGATAGAAAAAAATGGTCTTGGCTTTAATTTTCCCCTGAATACTGACCGGCACGGTGATGATCCCCTTCCGAGTCCTTAGGTTCAGCTCTGCCGCCGTCTGCCTCCCCACCCAGCTGAACTAGATCTGACTGCGTTTTGCACAGGCTGAGGTGTGGGCAGCTTGCTTTGTATAATCCTATTGGTTTTAGAGACCTCCTGGTCTCTTGTTTTGAAAGGCAGCATGGCTTAGGGTGTGCTGTGGGCTTGGCAAGTATTAGAAGTTGTCCTAGTGACCTAGATCTGTCATTGGAAAATCGGGGGGGGGGGAAGTGGGGAGGAGCTTGCCTTCCCAGCTATACAGCATGTGTACACTCATGTGGGCAAGAAGAAACTAGCTACGCTAGCATCACACGAGGTCTGGAGTAGCCAGCAGCCTCCGCCTGCCTGCCGGATCCAAAGCGAGGACAGGCGGGTTTAGCCCAAAGCTCCCCTGGGCTGGGAAAGACAAGCGCCCAATGCTGAACAAGATGGGAAATCAGCCTGCTGTTCTGCATAACAGAGCCAGCACAGAGCGAGCCTGAAAAGCTGGAGGGTAAAGAGGACAGCTCGGAGTTTCAAAGGCTCTGAAGGCAGGCAAGGTTCTTTGGGTACATGTGATTTCTTTTATTAGACCAACTAAATAGTTGGAAATATTGTTCTTTGCAAGCTTTCAGACACACACACCCTTCTTCTGGCATATAGAGAGTCTGCTGGTAAACTGTGTGCTCTCCTGGGTGGAACATACAATCCGCCCGCAGACTCTCTATAGGCCTGAAGAAAGGTGTTTGTGCCCAAAAGCTTGCAAAGCACAATTTTTCCAACTAGTTAGTTGGTCTAATAAAAGATATCACATCTACCCAAAGAACACTGTCTGCCTGTGTCCTTAGACCAACACAGCTACAACGAACAACCCTAAAGACTCTTAAGCGAATTTAGTGCCCAGCTCCCACTGGAGTTAAATAGGATCTGGGTACCTCGCTCGCTTGGGCTCCATTACAGATCCCAGCCTGTATACATACACACACACACATACATGTGCACACACCCCCCCACACACCATGTGCAACAGCAACAATTATTCTCCAACTTCTCAGTGGGTGGGGTCAGATAGCCCAGACACATCAAGCACTCAAGGCCTTGTCCCATGCAGTTGACATCCTGACGACAGTCAAATAGTCCTTGAGGAGAAAATCAGGATCAGGCCCTGGTGTTATGTTTAAGAAGGGTGTGTTCAATTGGCAGCAGTTTCTTAAGAGCCAGGCATGTTCGTATACCATGCCTGCTTATGTAATGTGTGTGTGTGTCTGTGTGCGAGAATAATGTGGCCTGGAACAGTGTCTATATGTACCCAGTAAATGCTGAGTCACTGGGAAAACTGACCTAGTGTGAAGTTTTCAGTGACCCCAGTTGAAATCCAGCTGGCTGAATTTGGCAGGGGACATACAAGAAGCTGATGGCATTCAGTGCAGATCACATGGGCTTGCCTGCTGGATGTACCCAGTGCAGCTGGTTTTTAAAGCTTGTATGTAGCCCCTACCCAGACCAACGCCTACCAACCTGTCTGGAGCTTCCCAGCTCAATGTCCTAATGCAAGGGAGAGGTTTAACATGGATAGGAGCAGAATCTGGGCCATCCAGGACCCTGTCTCCCTGTGCTGCAGCTGCCCCATGTGGGGAGCGTGGCCTGTCTCTGGGTGCTGGCTGGTGCATGTGGGCCTCTGCAGGGCAGAGAGGTGCATTTCACAGGGATGTGCTTTATACCAGCCACAGCTTGCCCCCAAGCATCTGAACACACCCGTCTGATGTAAAAGCCAAGACCCATGCTGCTCATTCCCCCTGCAGCGAATCTGGGCCTGTGCCTAGTGCAACAGCAGCGAGAGCTGCATCATGATAAACCGAGCTGTGATTCCCTCCTCTGCCAGGCAGGGCCCATGCCAGGGCCCTGACCAATTCCCTGGAGTGCCAAAGTGCTGGCAGTGGGGACTGTGGCTGGCAGGGATGCTTGGCTTATATAGGCTGTCCTGCATGGACACTGTGACTGCTATAGTTTCATATTTTCTAGGGTCAGAAGGGACCTGAGTAGATCATCTAGTCCCACCCCCTGCCATGGCAGGAAAGAGTACTGGGGGTGGTCCATCCCCAGGGACCTGGGACACAGATACAAATGGAAACACCTTGCTCTGAGCCAGTGAGCTGCATGTGACCCGCTTTGCTGGCCCCCAGCATGGCAGTGCCAAGGCCCTGTGTGGACCTGTGGCTGTGAGGTGGTATTTTCCCCTGCCCTGGGTGGACCCAGGGCATGTTGTTCTCCTTGGGAGCAAAGCAGGGCCAGGGCAGCTACTCCCAAGCACCCGGTGCCCCTCTGAGAGCCACACAGAACCTCCCACAGAGTACGGGTATGGGTTTATTCAGTAAGATCTGGATATGGGTTTGTTCTGTGAGATCCACAGACTTTTTGAGCTATGGGCTGCAAACAGGTGCCAAGGGCTGTGCCCACTCTGCCTTGCTCTGTTGCTAAATGAGTGAGGGTGCATGTGGAAGGGGGTGTCGCAATATGGAAAACAGCCAGACCCCTGCTTTCTTGCAATTCAGGACTGCAGTAACACAATACCTGTGCCACGATGATACCGCTGTGACCAGGGTGGCCCAAACAGGGGAGTGCTATGGTATCCTGATTGTCAGGGACAGCTTTACCTTAGTGAACCCTGGAGATCAATAAGCCCCCATCTCTCCTCCCGGCAATACAGGGCTGTGTCATTCCATAGTTTCATAGTTTCTAGGGTCGGAAGGGACCTGAGCAGATCATTATCAGCCTCTTCATGGGAGATGTCAGAGAGTATTCATTGAGCCCTCAGAGAGGTAGTAAGGCTTGTTGTGGCTCATGCTCCTCTCTGCAGACTGCAGTTAAGTTACTCCTGATTTGTGCCCATAGGAGAGGTGAACCAGGCCTGTTATCCCCATGGGGGACTAGGGCCGAGACAGGGAAGGAGCAACGTGAATCACAATATCAGATCCAGGCATCCTGATCCCCAATCCCCCTGTCCTAACCTCCAGGCAGTGCTCACTGGTGTCTCAGTTTCCACCATGTCGCAAAGCTGTTTGTG